TAAAAAATGACTGAAGGTATATTTGATCTATTTTGACATTATCAAGCTCCTGTACCGCTCGAATTTTAGGGATATGTCAAGTATTAGCCTCGAGGCTATAGGGATCTTATCAAACCCCTATAAGATCCTCATGTAACGAGACGCCGCTTATTTCAAGCTCACGCGTTAAGTTATATTGATGAACCTCTTTAATTGCCAACTTAGTCACAGGCTTTGCACTCATAACCCTTTAGCGAAGGTAACGCCAAGAGATAATGGGCATACAGTACTACCCTGTGGATACCAGCACCCTTCTACGTACCATCATCCAAGCTTTCCATGACCTTACAAAAAAACTATTCTAATGACATTCTGATCAAAGTACCTATATTTCCTTGAATATCACATAAAGACGAGTACTCGCGTAGACTCAGCGTATAAGGAAAGCTCCTGACAATGCCCGCCGGCCCTGACAATCTTCTCTGACAGAAGCAAAAGCAGAGGCAACTTCCCGTATATCCAAGCATCGTCCCGGGAGTTTCTACGGAAGTTTGGCTTCGCGAGGAAGGCCGGCTAATGATGGCAACTTAAGTACTAAGTCATACTTAATCCTCCCTTAGGCCCCGCTCACACCGAACTAACTTGCCGGCCCTCGACGGACTAACATTCACTAGTCCCGCCACCGGCGAGTCACCCCTTTCATGTTCCCCCTCCACCAAGTATGCCTCTAGTAGGGTAGTACATATATACGTATATATATATGTATATACATACAGTTCGTTCGGCCTAAGCGGCAAGCTAGGATTATACAGAGTGGCAGCTTATCGTTAGCTCTTCTAGGTGCTGGCTAGCATAATGACTACGAAATTGGCAGACTGGCGTATATATAATCTTGTCAATGTATAGATAAGCCAAGAAAGTTGAGTCGAATATTTTTCTTTCTAAAGATGAAACATAAGACGTGAATATTAGCCCGAGGGCTAGTGAACTCCTGTTATATCAGGACTGTCTCGAACTGCGATCACTTGAACTTCAGAACTGATAAGTGTCTGCTCCGGGCGACCGTAGATTTATTGCCAGCTCGTCTTCCGAACCCCTGGCAAAAGCGCCGTCGAAACCTTCTACCTACGACTTCCATTTTATTGCCGGAAATAATCTTTGATACGATTGCGACTCATTTTACCAGCTCTTTCTTCCACTCGTACACAGTCATACCATCTTTCCGGAGGTTCCTTCACGTTTCATCCCCACTTTCTCTTTCTTTAATACACTTCAGCCTCTTCTCGGTCTGCACGTCTATCGATCTATCTCCTTGAGCCACCGACGCCACGACGTTAACGACGCCTCGCGGACGCCTCTAGTTCCCTACCGTACAGCCTCTTAATGCAGAAATATTGCATTTTCATCCGCAGCCATTCAACCCTTCCCAGAACGTAATCTACTCATTGCGGGTACCTCCTGGACCACTGTCACTTTATGCTTAATCTATATCATTAATAAAGCTTACTGTTGCTCCACGAGGAACCTTAAGACTTGCGATATTAATAGAAGAGACAGGATTAATATCAGTAGGAGGATTCTGCGATTAAAAACTGAAATCCAAATTGTGCCGTGCTCGCAGATCCAATTAATTCGTATCGCGAATGCACGACAGTCAAAAGGCTGTACGATTGTTTGTAAAAGAGGAGGAACAAAGTGGAGATGTCTATGAGTCGATAGCCAATCGTTCCACATGAGAAGACAAGGCAAACGCTTCGTATAATATTCAGTGGCGTTCGGTTCAGACGCAATTCCGGAATGACATTTAGATAGTGATGTCAAGCGTCTGTGGGGTAAATCTGTCCCCGTTTGCGTGGTCGATGGTAGGACGCGGTGGCCGCGGGATGAGTAACGTGCTTCTCTGTTTCTCTCACTCCTCTCCTCGCCGACTCTCTCTCTCACTGACTCATACTCCCCTCGGCATCCCTCTTGCCCCAGCATCAAGAGTGAGTTCATTCCTGATCGAATTAGCGCGCCACGGTTCCCTGATACCCTGACAGTCTGAATTAATTAACAGGAGAACGCTAGGTAACCAGCCATTACCGAAGCAAAGCCCGGCCTCGCTTTCGAAATTTGAGTAGAATCAAAATCCCAATAAACCTCATTATTGGTATGACCTTTCGATTGTGTGAAATAACACTGGTGTATATGCAGCAACAGTGGTAAGCGTCGTCTGGTACAACCTGAAATCAAATAACGTTATAGTTTTTCATGTGACATTTTAATAATTTTAATAATAAAGGTAAAATACCGTCAGTCGCTTTCCCTGTCAGCTTAAATTTCCCTGAAGATCCGCGGCATCTCTCCTGTTCGTAAATAACGAAACGCTATTCCAAGACACGACGGCGTCTATTCCAAGAAGACGCCAGGCGTCTATGCCGAGACGACGTCTTGACTCCATTAACTTCACACTTAGCAGCACCTTAGCCGCCAGCAGCATCCCTGTTCTCATCCAGGAGCCAAGTCAGCCAGCCAGTCAGTAAGGGGTGGTTAGTACCAACCCTCTCGAGCCTGCGCAACCCCTTGCCTCACCACCTTCATCCTGCAGGAAGATCTGATTAGGGGTTCGACTCTCTGCTAAACGCGTTAGACTCGGCGACGGGGAAGACTCCGTCGTGCCTCTTGTCTCTACGTGGCGTGATGCAAATTGAGTAGGAGCGCCAGCCAAGTACCGAGGCTGGATCCGAGAATTTGCGATCAGACCAAAGTTTATTCGAGCACCAACCTTAGAGGGGGAGGTTAAAGTGTTGCCGTTTGGGGTTTCTCATATTTGCCAAAGAATCCCTGGAGTCCTGGAGTCCTTGCACTGTACTCTTAGATTATGCTTCTCGAGCCTCTACGGCTGTGAACGCACTCGACTGTATCCATTGTGTATTGTTTTGAGCCAGACTCCAAGTCTGACTGTCTCTGGCTGCATCCCCTTACAATCCTTATACTTCGGCAAGGGACTCCGCTTCGTAGCCACGACTGAATTCACTAATGTTCGAAACGTTTAGCAGCGCGTAGGCAATGCCTATTCCACTACGTTATCGTGAAGCGCGACACGTATCTTAGCGCGAAATCATAACACCATTATACAACGGCGAACCCTCTAATGCTTCTTTTTATGACCACCGATATTCAACGGCGCTGCCGTCGATCGATTTGACTTTATGCGGAGCACTTATCGTACCCCGTTACGAGCTAACATTGCTTTTTATAGGACGGGGGCGAGAAGGGAGAGACCGATCTTCGACTGTTCCGATCTCTGAAAACGAGAGAATTAACGAAAAGAAAAAAGAATGAAAGAAATGATACGAACCTAAAAAATATGAAACGAGCTACAACAGAGGGCGAATCCATTTCGTACTCTACTATCGCAGAAGGTCGAAGAATATTTTTCCCGGAAGGTTTGCTGCTCTTTCTGTATTTTTTTTTTTTGTAAATCGTCAATGTTTAGTATACCCGGCAGGTGCCGAAGTGGCGAAAAAATCACGTCTGCATTTACATAAGCGTCGGTATAAAGCACTCGACAGAAATCCCAGCATAAACCCAAACAGGATCTCCGCACGGAATAGTGCGTCAGTTGAATACGCAATTGGTCTCGCAGTACCTAGATACTTCTGGTACTCGCGTTTCGAATACTTTTATTGCACCAAAATATACACAGCGAAAGCCCATAGTACTTTATACGCATGCATGGCCAGATTTCGTTATCTATTACTTTGTTCCTCCGCTATATCATGGATACATCATTTTTCCATATGGTAGGCAATAAGCGATACGACCTGACTTAAGCCCTTCCTTTTTTCCGTCTAAGGGAGGTTTTAAAGTCATTTCTGAGACAAATCGCTCGGACACGCCTATGGCATGATGCAAGCGATGGGGTATTACGCTGTCCTACGGTGAACGGGAGCGACGAGACTCGACAGGAATTTCAAATGTTGACGAAACGATTTTTGAGTCACCTCAATCTTCGTGGATTCCGAATCGCTCGCGGGAGTCACCCTTGTTGGCCTCTTTGTCTCAAAAGATCCCCATGTGGCTGCCACAGTCGATCCGTGTGAAGCTAGGAGAGGAAAGGACAAAAAAATCGACTTTTAAACCGGCAATAAAAAGGGAATGTGAAATCTTTGATTTTAAAGGCTCGCAAGGGGGAACGACAGTTGGCCGATGCATATAACCTCCCGGCCTCCTGGCTGACATTTTATGTACTACATCCATAGGGATCTATGTAGTGTATTCGCAAAATATTGCAATCCAAGCACGTACCGTAACCTCGCAACGCTTGAAACTTCTTTCATCGCGTATACAGGCTTCTCGATGAAAGAGAGAATAGAAGAAAGAGTAAAAAAATAAGAAATGGAAACTGGAAGGTAAACGACAAGCAATAACTGTGGACGAGAACAAATGGAAAGGAGTCCGTAATATTAGGTCCTTGCTAAAGAGGCTGAGCCGGTAGCAGGGCGAGAAGACCAAGGAGGGAGTAATAGAGAAGAAAAGAAGGAAAAAGATTGCAGCTGCTAAATCGCAAGCAGTGCGAAGTCTTCGCGAAATGCTTTACGAAAGCTGGAAAAGGGACCCTCTAACGAGCGGATGCCATTATCCTTACGGTAAACTCAGTCCGAAACATCGTGCCCGGTTTATTTCCCGCGAATCGAGCGTAGAATTAGCATTTAAAGGACCTCGAAGATTTTCAGCCGGAAACCGAGTGGGAGTCGCCTGGTTTACTTGTTTTTATTTTCTCGCAATTTCCTCGACGAGCTACAGAACGGAAAGCGGTCTTAAAGGGAATTAGCACGCTTTACTGCCTCGCTATCTTGTGTAATTCGCGAGTCGAGAGTTTTCCTGCCTGTCTCGAAAATACTGGTATTTTTAAAAAGTATCCTTTACTTGTAGCGTTCATCTCCCAAGTCTATTTGCACTTCCTGTTTTTCGATTCCCATATGAATTACCTCCTTCGTCGCTTTACCGTGCATCATATCGTGCTTTTGTGTCCGCAGGTTTTGCGTAGGGGACAGATTCTATTTATGCGAAAATAAGATACTGTGCGAATACGACTACGAGGAGAGGCTCGTCTTTGCCAATATGGCTTTGCATCCACCCCCGTCAGCTACCCTGGCGCATATTAAGAGACAAGTGACACATCTTCAATCACCGGTAAGTCCATACATAGTATATCATTAATATATTATTAGCCTTGTTACAACAAATATTTTTAACCCTTTCTGAATTTCAAAAATTTCAATTTCAATTTCCCTTCGGATCGAACTCCTTAAAATTTTTACTAAGACTCACCAAGGCTTCTTTATACCTCTCCCACCCCTCCAGCCCCTCTCCGCCGGCTCCTCAGATTTTTTTGGCTACTCGAATCAGTAACAGCAAGAGATATAATATAGCAATTCTTAACAGACTCGTACCACTCTATAGAGATAATTAAGATATCGTGGATAATCTAATGGTGAATAGTAGTGGTGGAAGCAGTAGGGGTAGTTCTAGAACTGAAGACGTAACCCCTTAAGACGGGTTAAAGTGACGGGCCTGACCCTCTTGACAACAAAGGACTCCCTTCAGGCTTCAACTATGCTTTACAGCAGGCTGCCATCGTCTTATGAGTAGGATATCGCGTGTCCTTATTAATTAAGCTTGGCAGCTAAGCAGGGCTTCTGGAATGCCTGGAGGATCCTGGTCCTCTTCGATAAGGACAGTACGAGCAATAACTTGATATCCACGACTACCTCAAGAGACCAGAAGATTCTGCAGAAAAAAAATTAATTTCATCAAAAGGACCTCAAAAATGTATTAATCCATTATTGTTAAGACACCTTGGTATTATATCCTCGATTATCCTAAAGCAACAGACTCCTATCGTTGGGCATGATAACATAAACCTAGTATCCTGCTTTAATCTTGCTCTTGAACACCTTCGTCTTGGTTTCAATCAATTTAATCCAGGTCCTATCTCGAACCAAGATCCTTGGAGCAGTCTTAGGACGCTTCGTCTCACGTAGAGTAATGTTTCTATCATAATATTAGCTATGTTCGCACTGAAATAGTTTTCGAGTTAAGGAGATTATGCAAGAGATTTCAAACTGACCTGCCAGGGTTGCAGTCTTCGAATATCTCGGAAAGTGTACATGAAACCATCATAAGGAACATCCGTATCATCATCGCTTCAAAGACTGTCTCGAATGAATGGGCAACTCGATGGGGAAAATTCAACCCCTACTAAAGGGGTTAAATTCATACGAAACACCCGTTGAATTTTCTTCCGGAGGATCTGAAACGTCATATAAAAAATTACTATCACACATTTTCCACATGCTAGAACTTTAGGCTATTTCATAGTTTTCCATAGGGTGTGGTAAACCAACGGAATGGGGGATGACGTCCGTGTATATATATGTACGCACTGGGGTTGAGTTAGTGGAACACGCTCGAATCATACGCATGCATAGAATAACGAGGTCCTGAGGCTGATCATATCGGACTCGGTAACGTGTACTACTTATAATATGCAAATGTTCCCTCTGTCCCCTTATATACCCTCCTCCTCCTCGTCGCGATTGTGCCCACCCACCCCCTCTAATTCAAGGGTTGCTAACCCTTGTGACTCTATTGCTACGCTACCTAGCTAAGGGGTGACTCTGTATACTTTACTTTAATTAATATTAGTTACATTGACGCTATCAAGGACGCTCTCGCGTGTTCAAAAAATGAGTCTGCACTGTCCTATACATATATTACCAGTCCCATAAGCGTCATCGGCGTCCCTGATCCTCCACGGGAACTCACCCCTAGAGTTAACCCAAGAACTTGCTCTTAAATATAGAGTCGGCTAATGCCAATAATCACCGTAGCATGCTAATACCAAGGAAGCATCCATCACCCTAAGCCAGATGGATCTCCCGAGACACTTTCACAAAACTCGGCAGCTCTCAGCCATCTTTTCAAGCTTCCACGCAATATTTCCTTTTGTTCGGCATCATCTTGAAAGCTCTACAAGGTCTTTCCGCTGATGAACCTCTGCACCGGGTATGACGATTTACCAGGACGTCTAAATTCATTGGGTATTTATGTAGCTTCAGTGACGTCAGTCGACGGGCTTCTGGAACAATTACAAAAAGAAAAAAAAAGGTTTCATAACAAAAGCAAAGTCTATTTCGTATCCACAGGGAGGAAAATGAAGTCGCTATTGTGAATCAGTGAGAAGCGCCAAAGCAGTACGACTTTCGATTGTTGCCGATTCAAAGGCAGGGGGTTGCTTTCGAGACGACGAGAAAAGTTAAACGAGATGTAAAGTAAGGGGTAGGTTATCTGGTTACAGAATCGGCGTCCCGACGTCCCGGCGTTAAGATTCTTAAAAAACCACCAAGAACCAGATGCTCCTAATACTATCCTTAGAGCTCGTCAGCGAGAGTCCATAGCTAACTATACCACCACCGGCAGTAACACCCTCTCAGAATACTTCTTAAGCTCCTACGGAGGGCGATGTCGTAGCTGGGGCACCATCCCCCGTAGGAGGGGTAGTTTTTCTGATTGCCTGGGAACGGACAGCTGTCTCAATCTTTGAAGCGCAAGGTGGAAACTCCGCCGTCTAAGGCATTTCCTTCTCCTAAATAACCGCCGTTTGTTACAAATAACGAGAGTTGCTCAGACGATAAGTGTTCGCTGAGGGAGGCTACAGGCTACAGGGCGTTTCACAAGTAATAAATACGAAAAACAAAAGCAGAGTTTCAGGCTATTAATAAGCACAACATCCTTTTCTTCACTGTATAAGAAAACGTAGGTATTCTGAAAAATTAGATGAAACTTTTATTTCTCACTAATTTCCCTCGCGGGAGGCTAAACTAAGCGCCGGGAAGATGCTTGAATTTCAAGGGAGGACGAAGGGCGCGAAGGGACGAGAACCGAAAGGATCGAGGCGACGGGGGTGCAGGCGGCCAAGAGTTCGAAACGATTATCTGAGTTTTAAAACAAACTCTCAAGTGTCTGCAAAGTCCTCCGTGCGAATCGAGGGTTTGGGGCAGCAGAGGGTTGCTGGAATTCGTACGGGGAGGTGTGGAGACGGGACTCCCTAAGATAATATGCTAATTCCAGTACCGAGTTACATGGGAATTTAAGAGGATCAATGCATATATACACGGGCGAAGAGGCTTGTGGCTCGCTTGGCCATTTGAGCTTCAAGAATATCGAAATCTGTTGAGCTTTGATCAGCTACCGACGGTCCCTAATGATTTCAGTCACGATCAATCCATCAATCCGTCTGCCGCTTCTATTCATCCAGTACGCTAGACAGTACCGTAAGCTACGTATAACGAACATATTATTAGATACGCTGCATGACTGAATTTCGTGTTAAGCCACGTAGCTCTTGGCGCGAATGCACGCCCTATAGCATCGGAGAATGCTTCGACCATGGGAAAGCCCAGCTTGCGAGCTTATGTGAGATTATGAGTTTAGTTGCGAAACAACTCGCCGCCCGGCATGTTCGCTCCTCACTTTTATAACGATTATTACCCGTGCGTGGCACCTGCGTTTGTGTTCCGAGTTCTACCTGCCTTTCGCCGTCGCCTCATGTATGCCCGGGAAGACTCTGTGCAAGTTCAAAGCTTAATTGACGCCGGCGAAATTAAATGTAATTAGGATCTAGATTATTGTGATCTGCATGGTTCCCGTTCGGTGAGCTTTTTTTTTGCGTATTATATTTTTGTGGGGAGGGACGAGGGATAATATCGTTTGGAAATACGTTAAGCGCGAGATTTTTTTAATTGGATGCATTTGACGTAGGGCGGTTGTTAGTTGTCAAAAAACTATTTTATCCTTAATGGAGTATTCGGGGTTGTTTCGAGGAAATGCTTACTAAGTTAGGGAGGCTTTGGATTATTGTACATGCTAGATCGCAGCGGGGGTGAGATCATCCCCCGAGTTAATCTAGGAGGCTGCTTCGTGGAAACGAGCTCTTGGGGAATAATGACGTCTTGCCTAATTCTCTGCCGGCTGGGTGGGGTTGCGAGAGGAGTCGGCCGGAGAGGCATTGAGGGTTGAATGGTGGGAGCGTCGGGGGTGTTAATTTTTGCGCCGAAGAAAAGCCGCGCCAGCGGAAGAGAACACCTGGCCTGTTCCCAGCCGCAGGAGATCAACAGACAAATGACACGCGATTCCCAACCTTCTTCCCCTCCCTCCCAGGTGCACCCTGTGAAACCCACTCACCCTTGGCTCACGGTTACAAACTACTTCCAGCATTCGCCCCCGCCGACCGGGCGATTAATGTCTTACTTGCGCAAATCTCGCGAAAAATACCCCCCTAAGTTTTTCCAGCGCGTTCCTAAAGCTCGTTAACGATCCGAACGACCGATATTCAGGTAGTTTCTACGAGGGTGAAGATATCAAGGGTTGCGAATAGCGAAACGAGCAGCTATCAACCTGATATATTTTCAAAGGAACAATACCACCCAAAATGAAAATGGCGTACACTTATTCAAAGGATAATGGAAAAAAGAAGAAGAAGAAGGGGATGAAAAAATGCACCAGCGGTTTCCGCTGGCTTCGCGCTTTACCCGAGTAATTAACTCGTAAATAATTACGATAAAAATGACAAAGAGTTGGGTAAGAAATGCTTTATCACAGTCCAACCCCTACTGCCAACTCACCCTTCTTATGCACTCTCTCGCTCTAACGCTCTAAGTCCTCCCGTCTAGCCCGTACAAGAATCCCTAAATCTCGACTGGGGGTAAACCCTTCCCCGTACGAATCGGCCAGGGGGCGTAGGTACACCACCACCCCGACTACCCTAGTCGCCTTGACAGTACAGGACACCCCTTCTCTTTCTTCCGTTTCGCAAGGACCCAGCGCTCTGCGTAATTAAGAAATCTCCAAGGAGGAAGTCAGCCACCGCTGCCACCGTTACTACTGGCTCCTGTCGCTGCTGGCAGCCTCGCCCATTTCGCGGGCATTCCGACTAAATTAAGTCTATGACTTATTCACGTTTTATCTACAATTGCCAGAGGAGGAATTACCGGTGGGGGTATACCGGGAGCTGTCGTAATCAAACACGTTCGCGCAGACGGTTCTGCCTTCCAGCAACGGGTTTTGATGCCGCGTGGACGTGGAGCAGTACATCTCCTGCTGCTCTCAGTCGTTGGTCATTATCGGACGAAATCCTCTATGTTTAAGGGTGCTGATGATAATTTTCGCAATATCACTGGATAATAAAGAGCAGCCTGAGAGGGTCTGACAGTGATCATCACACGTAGTCGCTTTGCCATGGTCCGTCTTTTCGTGCCCATCACGAATCGCAGATACCCTTCGAAGGAAGATGGTTATACTTACACAGTTGCATATAAGGGATGAGTTAGGTACCTTTGAAGAGAATCCATATACCCAAAGTCGTTCTGACTCAGTGGATTTCTCCCTGTTCGGTAGGAGGCAACCCTTGCGAATTATAAACCTGTATAATTTAACACCAGTGAGCCATGGGAAGCCAAGGCGCCACCCTGAGAATACAACCGGAAGAAGGATGAGGGGGGGGGGTCGGTGAGAGTAAGTTTGAAGTTTTCAACAGTTTCCACAGTTCCTGCATCCTTCTATCGTTTAGTGGGCGCAACTCGGCCCGGGGAACTCCTCCACATAAATATGGCTTCGAGAGGGAAAGAGGCTGCTGTACCTAAAGGGACGAAGAGGACGAGGGGAAGTGGGCTCCTTAAGTAACTTCGACTTGAGATACAAGTTCTCTAGGCTTTTGTTTTCGAGCTCTCGGTATGGGGATGCTACGGGATGCTGAGGGCTCGATGGAGGGTTAAAGGTAGCCAAGGAGCCGTAGGATTCTCAGTGTGAAATTCAGAAGGAACCAGCCAAGTATTCTGGCTAAAATGAATTCGTTAGTAGAAGCACCCCTAGTGCTGTAGTCGGTACCTATAGCGTCGAGGGTGGTGAATTCTGTGCAAGGGAAAGTTTCGGGCCCTCGCACGTACCCCGGGCCACCTAGACTTTCGGGAATACTTTAAGGTCGTTACGAGGATGATTATTAAAATTAGATCAGCCCATTATACGGCTGAGATATATAGTTCATTACCTGGCCTAAGTTTCGTTAAGGTTTCTAAAAAAAAATTCTCCTTTCTCTGTTACAGACAGTTCCCGGTGGTGCTGCTCAAAGGCAAACCAACGGTGAGGCACCCCATAACCACAACGGATATCCAGCACCCCCAACATCTACTGCCCACAACGCACTCAACCCTATGAATAATTTAAACGGTATCAATGCACAGGCACCCTACGACACGAAATGACAGTCCAAGTAAACACAGCCGAAGGCCATGTGATCCTCGACAAGACGTCAATTCTATAATCTAGTCGATAATAAATTCAATTGACGACGTGAGAAATCATCGGAGGGAGGAACGATGACAGCATGGCCATTAAAACTTATTAGATATTAATTAGATAGTTTACGGAACTGGATATGTATATCTCATCTGGTGCTGATTTAGGTTAACCTGCAAACTCGTCCGCTTCTTCAATCCCTCTCACGGTGCTTCCAATATCATTTCCAATTCCCCAATGAATTTTTTAAGTTTTCAGGAATACATTCGACTTTCGAAATTCTCCCGTTTTTCAAAAGGATTATATCCCAGGGAGAGGAATTCTCCAGGGGCAGAGTTGGCTGCGACTGATAGGTTCGGCAAACGAGCACCCTTAAATCCCATAGATCGGATCCAACGGGTAGTAGGTTGCAACGAGCAGGGGGGTGGTAACAACCACTCCTAACAGTCCTAACCACCCCAGGGACTCGTACGTTAGGGGTGACTTAGCATTGTTTCAAGTTGGAATCTTCGCGAGGCCAGATTGATGTTTGTAACTTTTACGTAACCTTATTTGCGAGTCAGATAACGAGCCTGAGTTATGCGCAAACTTCAGGCTGGTTCTATCGCCGAACGTATCGGCCATCCTTTATTTTCCCCCATAAACAATTTCAAGTTGCTAGCTCATATCAGTAAGGATCTATTCGTTATCGTTCTTTCAGTGCATACGTATACGTACGATTGACGTCACTTTAATTTTCTTAATTACTATGGAAAGTAACGAGGAAATGCTTCCACGATATATTTGTATCGTTCCACGAGTACACGTTAATGTTCCTAATTTAGGTGTATCTAACGAGGTACTATATCAATAAGTAATTAGAATCGAATAAATCAAGTGTATCCTACAAGCTATTATCGAATGTCTAATACGTTTTAGAATATAAAAATATTAGATTCTGGATAAGTATTACAACTGGACTTATGATAACGCTGTCTATTATTCAATGTTATCCAATAGAAGAGGTCTGTCATATGCTGGATTTCAATAGTTTATACCAACGTGAGTCGCGAGAGGGAGCCGGATGAATATGAGAGTGTACGAGTGTAAAGTACGAAAAACAAAATAAAAAAACATAACAGATGTAACAACCAAATACGGATTGTACGGATGTACCGTAACGGTTTAGCTATATGTATATGACGAAGTCTGTTTTTGTATTATAGCCTTATTATAGGTGCGAAATAACGAGTAATAAAATTATTATTTCAATGTTAATTCGTGTTTCAAGCTGTATCTACTTTTATCCTTTGAAACCTATCTTATCGATTTCCATTTCGCAAAGAAGAAAAATCCTTTTCGCACGTCGATTCGTATGTTTTAGGAATCGCATCCTTTACGCCTCCTCTCTAATATTTAAGAGGGATACGTGATTGGCCCGACAAATCCAACGCGCCTCAATAATTTACCAATCATACACGGTCCTTTGTGTTTTATACAGCGCGTTTCGAATAAATCGCATTGTGTATTCAGGAGGGCGAAATCCAACTCTATCGGAGTGTGAATACCTTGGCAACCCGGCTAACAGGGGAAGGGGGGGGGGGGCATACGTGGAGAACGAGAGTGAGCGAGACAGAGAGAACGGTAAGAGAGAAACATAGTGTGGAATTGGGTGAGCCGAAGAGAAAGGTGGTTACAAAAAGGTAAGACTGCCAAAAGGCGTGAATATTCGCACGAGCTGTCTTGAAAATTTCGTGCTGAACATTGCGAATTTATGTGGATAGTTCAGGAGCTCGTTATAGAGACACTTTTGCCAATAAGGGCCATTTTGCCGCGTTGCGAAGACCGTGCGGAATTAATCGGGCGAGAGGATCCCTTTTCAATTTGGCACTATGGGTGTGGGGTGTCACTATGAAAATTCGCGAATTCACGGTCCCAACGCCATGAGTACGAGCAGTTAGCGAAACGATGACGAACGGCAGAGCATTCAATGCAAATTGGCAACTTTTCCTGCTCGCCTCTCTCGGTATAATCATTGGCAATTAGAGCACGGGCCACCGATAAATGTTATTTATGACCGCGATTACCTTCGGCACACCTAACTGCCAAGGTAGCCCCCGTCCGCCATTTCTATACCAAACCCTCCTGTCGGCCGCATAATTGCCCGGCAATTATCCTTCGCTTACGCAAAACCTTCGAAATATCGTTTAATTTTACAAACTTCCGGCAGACATGTCATACGAAGACAAAGCATCGATCTTAACCAGTCTGTCAATCGATCAGACATTTTCTTCGGTGACTCCAAATAAGATTTTATTTCTGTACTAAGGTCGTGGTGCAGCATTTTCGCGAAGTCCCACCAACTAGAGATAACTATACCATGCTCCGAGTCTTTTAAAATAATATTATAGAAAAATTTGGGACAATTTCATACGGCGAATTTGAATTACCGCGATGCCAGGTGATGACCGTATAGATGTGACGTATACGAGTAGCAGCGCGAGGTCGGCCGCGGGTTAAAAACAACAATTAATTAAAAAAGTAAAAATTGTTTTCATAAAATTAATTTACGGAAATATGCGCTGACTGAAATAATATCCGGCCGGCTGATGTGTGTCCCCTGCAGTCGGTCAAATAAAAAGGTATAAAAGCGGGTTGGCCAGAGACACAAGGGGTGAAACGGTGGAACGGGTATGACGAAGGCGAGAGGAGGAGTGCTTTCAAGCTTTCCCAGTTTTTTGGGCACGGCCGCACCGTACCGACTGTGCCAATCGCCGAGCTTTCGGTGCTTCCCGGCACTTGGCTATACTCGGCAAAGTTTTCGCATTTTTTTCATTTCCATAACTCTTATGAAAATATTCCTATTCCAGTGTTGTCGCTGCCCGAGGCGGCTTATTTTTTTTCACGAGCCGAACCGCCCCTCGCCACACCACCTCCTCGCTCTCTCAGCCCACCGACCAACCAGGCGAAGTGTGATTTAAGCGCACGTAAAACGGCCGTTAAAGCAACAAAGCTTTTTAACGCCCGTCTTGATTACCTAACTCGGTTTATTAAAACGTCGCAATATTATTCTTCTACCGGATGCCAAGGAGTTCGTCCTGCAGCGAAGCTCAGCAATCTTTCTCGACGTTTTTCTCATCTCGTCGGGATCTGCGAATAAAAATATTAAGGTCACATATATCATGTGCAGAAATACATATATCCACATGTGTTAACAATGCATCACCTGCAGCCCTGTAAAATCTTCGCTCTTTTTCATCCCTTTCAGTGCCGACGCCATTCATTGACAATCACTGTCAATTTATTTTCACACAATCACCACTAGTACTGTCATCATCTCCGCCATCGTCCCGTTAGCCAATAGCGATTACAGCCGAGACAGCGAATGACAGGAGAATACGAGCGGCTATCAATTTATTGTTTCGTTTCACCCGGTAGATTTGAAAATTGCCCAAGCAAATGAAACGACTCGCCGTGACAAAGGGGATAGCGCACAAAAGTCCAGGCCTTCGGATTCAGCGGCTATATCGGCTCCAGTCTGTTTCGGGAGGGTTTATTGAAAATTCTAGGAGGTCAAAGTTCGTAGGAGTGACACGTAAAGAGCGAGAGGCACAGGATCTGAAAGAATGAGAAAATAAATGGACAAAGTCTCGGAGCGAGACACAAAGGAAGAGCAACGTTTAATAATAATAATATTAACCCATTGAGACCCAGCCACTTTATTGCCAACTATACCCAGCAACCAGCTATATTTTCAGATAAATAGCATAAATACAAGATATCATCAGCCTCCAACGATGGAATACGAAAGGCGAGATACCGCGTATCCCGTCTGTAATGTGTTGATAAGATAATTCGTCTCGGACAGGATGCTCAGCTATTAATTAGAAAATACCTAAGAGGATACTTCTCTTCGTTGGCACGCTACTTTCACGTTATTACGCAACTCCCTCAAAATTCTAAGGCTGCTGGGTACAGAGCTACTCAGTGCTTCGCAAGGGGTAGAAAAATAAGACCCCTCAAATTCCTTTCTCTCCTAACGTCCTTAAACGGGTTAAACTTAATCCCCAGCCAAGTTGAGCCAACTGCTAAGCTTTTTATTATGCTAAGTGACTGAGGAGGTCCTGTGCGAAGATGTGTCTACCTTCGTTAATATCGGAAAGCACCCCACTTAAGGATCTTCTTCTTATTCTACTTATTCCTCTTATTCAACTTCTTCTTCTTCTTCTTTCTAAGTATTGCCTAATACCAAGATGAGCTCCTATCCTCTTTGCCTGGTATCGCGTTACCTCGCGTCCACAACTTTCTATCCTGTGTACCGTGATAATTATCACTGAGTGGACCCTACAGTGGAAACAGCATAACTTCGGCATGTTCCTTTAGAAAAAGGAGCCTGAAATTATCCCAAAGGATCTGGGAGAGTTGTTGTCTTAATTTGACGTGCGATAACGCTTGTCGTAAAGTGTAACGGTACCCGTGAGAAACTTCTAGAAAGTCCTAGCACAACGAGGGAACGTGGGATGGCGAAAAGAAGGGTGACGGTATAGTGAAAATGAAAAATAAAGAAAATTAAAAAGTTCAAATCTCAAGAAAAAAGTTTTATGTTCTGAACGAGTGAGAGGGTGGTACGTCACTGGCGTCGACAAGCTACTACGAGGAATAACAGAATCCCCTAGCACCCCTCTACCGACACCGAAGCTTTTGAGAGGCGTCAATTAAAAAAGAGCCGCTCTCGGAATTTCCATGGAGCAACGTGAGGTCCGCGTTTAACACGCGCACCCCTTTCTTTCTGTAGTTTTGCCTAGTACCAACCTCTTTGCCTTATATTATTGTATAAGGCGTATATTTGTCGCTTTCGTTCGTCAATCTAATTTCATTCGCATAATCATAATATAATACGCTCACAACCTCCTAGGCTTCCGTCCAATTTACCTGAATCAGAACTTTCGGCTTTGCAACCCTCACAACTTTCGGAAACTTCTGGCCCAGCGGATTCTGGAATTTGTGAAAACTTTAGAAATTCGGCAAAGGTAGCTGCACCCCAGTATCTTATTATTGCTCCTAAACGGTGAGAAAGAGGGCAAAAAAGGAAAGTACCTACATATATTCGATATAATAATACCAGCTTGGAAATATCGTAGGAAGTCAAAGCATGCCAACTATCTTTCATTTTGCTTTGTGTCCAGTAGCGCGAGCTATGGGGATGATGTCCACATTGAATAGGGATGACGAGGAAGTGTTGTCAAAAGCCACCTGGTTACAACGTTGGAAATGCTGCACCCTTCATGGTATCGTGAATCCAATTGACAGTTTACCCTATGAACTGTACTATCTTAAATATTAACAATTTTGACTTACGAGTGATTGGCCACTGGACACGAATTTTCAACCCTTCAACCGTCGGACACGAATTTTCAATTTGAGACAGATATTTTCCAGGCAGACAGATGCTGGCTGGACCGTCCGAGCTCATTTCTTTTCATGCTCTCCTTTGTCGCGACATTTGAAATATTTCAATTTCACTCGATTTTCAGAACTCGCAGACGACGCGACCCTTGTCCGCGGGCGACGTCGCGACGCGCAACCCTTGAGAGCATTCAGGACGAAGTTGCATACTGAGAGAGTGGACGCGCTCTTGGACTTCTTCCTGGAAGGTAAAAGGGTGGATAAAAGAATTTCGAAGATAATTTTCATGAGATTCCTTTGGACATCCCAGCAGGAGTGATACACCCTTCTTAGGGCTGTAATAATTATCCCTCGAACGATCTTCCAGTTATTTAACGCAGTCTTACTATGTATCTAAAGAATGTAGAATTTGAAAAAAAGAACAAGGATAAGAAATTGAGATCCAACCCTCGATGACGATGGATTTATCGACATTACCCTCTCTAGGGATTCCTCGATAGTGCAGGAATTGGAAGCCATTGAAAAATCGGCAGTGAGCGAGGAAAGAGGGAAATGCGAGAAAAGTTGTTACCTTCAGTCGCTGATATTTCCAGGGTATGTGACGCTGTTTGTATTACACGTGCACGAGTTCATATATATATATTTTCTTTCTCCCGGTAGGTAATTCAATTTAGGGGGTAAACAATTTAACGAGTATGAGACGCAGGGAAGGCAAATTGCTTCGATAGAGAAAAGGGCGCCTGGATAAAATATTATTTGATATCCGAGTGGAAAGAAAAATAAAAATAAATAAATTTTTCTTCTTTCGCACACACGTGTATCAGCTTTAACATGCGCACGTGCGTTTATAGAAACGCGAGTTCGTTACTTGAACGACGTAAATAACGACCCCTAAACGATTTTACATTGGAAAGGTATAGAAAGATTCGAGAGGGATGATATTGAGGCATGATAAAATGAGGGGGTCGGCTGGCGGACTCGACCGGTGAAATCGGTATATACGTGCATATATATATATATCTACATACACACGTATATTTAGCACCAAGTACGCGTAAATAAACACAGAGTAGAAAGTAGTTGAACGTTTCTGAAATCTTTTAACGAAATTCCCAAACAATTTGATAAAAGATTCGACAATACTGACAATAAGTCCTCGAATGAATTGAGCAATCTTCGTGGCTTTTGTTTCAGCGAACTGCCACTTGTAAATATAATTACAACTGCCTCGCACCACCCTCCCACCCCTAATTTGATTCCGCGGTTGTTTTCGCCCGCCCACCGCACCGCCTAGCACAGCCTTCGCCCACGCATTGTCTCTTGTCTCTTCATTCAAATTACCCTCCCGCCCAACCCCTTTCCCCCGTGCGCTCTTCTCGACTCCTCGCCGCTCAACGCGACTCAGCGGCAACCGACCCCCTTTACGCCCTTATTGTTGCGGTTTTATTGAATCCGCCTGTATTGTCTACGCGCGCCCGAGACAAACCGTTGTCAAAGAAAATTGCTGTACAACTTGCAGCGTGTACCGTGCTTTAATGTCTTTTACCTTTTTTTTCAGTATTTACCAGTAAAATGTACAACGTTTAATTCGCGTGTTTTTAAAACGAATCGTAAATACGAAAAGAAATGAGAAACTCGTATTGGATACGAGAGAAGTATGAGAAATACGAATACTTATATTTTCTGGTTTTCCTGGTTCTTCTTTCTTTGTATGTCGGGGTGATAAATAAATAAATAACAGTCTGGAAACCACCCCCTGCATATTTAACGCTATGGAGACTCATAAGGATCCCGAATGCGAGGGTTGCCTTTTGTCATGAATTTCTTCTTTCTTTCTCTGGTTCTGAAAGATTGCCTGTGCCTGTTCCCTTTACTCCAGAAACAGGACTATTGGGTTATGATCTTCCTCCTGGGTCTCCGAAATATCGTTGTTATCATTTGTGAGAGTAGTATTTTAAAATGATGTAATTTTCTGAAAAAAAAAAAAAAAACTTTCAAAAAGTCAGACCAAGTATAGACGATGGTGGTTTGCGGCTGTTGACTCGTAATGAAATTAAGAGTAATCGAGGGTTACAGGAAGGGATTCCCAGTGGGGGAGGATTCGTCGGGGGTCGTATGAATTTTCAGACTGGCGACCATTAATTATTCGAAATTAAATATCTTTCACGCGGTTTAATTAAAGTGTTTACAGTGTTGCGTCCCATTATCCGCGGGCGTCACGATATTTTATAATGCGGATTTATTAAATGCCGAGAATTCATTCATCAATCGGGTGATCATTCTTCTTTGCGTTCGCTCTGACAATATCACAGGGACAACAATTTCCAGCGAGCAGTCAGCCAACATGAATTACTTAAACAGTCGATGTAAAGCATATTCGACCAATAGCAAGAATGCTCCAAGTAAAAGTACCGACTGCTGTCGACCTGGATCCATCGGTCTTTGAAAACGATTCAGGTATTACAAATATTTTCGAAGGAAAGAAGAAGTACATAGCACTGCGCAATACAAGGAACTCACCTTTATAGCGATAACGACTATTATTAATTCCGAAATCAGGTAATGTAATTTAACAACTTGATATTCGCGTAATTAAAATTCCACCCCCTTGAATTCTCTCCTCGCACCCCCCTCGTCAGACCACTCGGGAGCAAACGATTCTTGTTTGTTTTGCAAACAAAGGGGTTTTGCGCTGGGCGAAGGTACGCAGGGGACGTTACGGGGCTGAGTGAGAGTGTACGGGGAGTGACTGAGGGATAGAAAGGGTAGGAAAGGGGACCAGAATTATTACATCTTTTGTTCGGTGGCTCAAACCGCCCCATTTGCGGAATTGCGGATCGCGATCCGACTGCGATTGCGGCCACTGAATAGGCCAGGCTTTGCCAAGGCTTTTGTTGGTTTTGACTAATTTCCGCTAGGTAATCTAGTTCAATTGGAATTACCACCACGTAACACCCTCGGCCAACCTCCGAATTAACCCTCGTCTTACCGTGAAAGTGCTATAAGCATTTTTTCCGACCCTCCCGCAACCCCCTTGCGCATTCGTTTTTGGGTTCGCACCCATTTATGCTTTGGACTCGTTTTAAAATACGCCGGGGAGGAAATATGAGAATGAGAATGTTCCTACTGGCAATTAAACGGAAGCAACCCTTAAATCTTCATCCCCATTTGACGCTAGGTTGCTAGCTTGCTAGATAGCTAACCAGCCACGAGCCAACGAACCACGGTACGCCATGGATGGAACGAACCAACCCCTTCAGCGAATTTAATTCTTGTGGGTCCCATCGGTGACTTTATCGCAAGAAATTGCTACCACTAGAAATCAGGCCGCCCTTTATTACAGGATCGTTACCGTAAGAACTTACTGCGGCATTCTTGCGGCTAATGTCGGCGAACTTCCTTAACTTTCAGTTTTACGTTAGCCAGATTCGAATTAAGAATTGATGCCAATGAGTCTTCTTACTGCTTTCGCCGCCAGAGAACTCTTCCTTTAATTGTATCTATGTTAACCATTTATTTTCATGGCTGTGGAAAGGAGTTCTTGCATGTTTCTATAAGGTTTCCACCCTCAGAAGCCACCCCCGGGAGCTCGTACTTTGGATGCTTACCACGTGCTTGAGATTCTCTTTATCTGAAAAAGCAAAGACATTTTTTTTATATTAACAAATCTGTACTAGATACTCATAGGTACATACATATCTTTGGTTCTTCTACTTGTCCTGATCCTAATAGTTATATATTGTCCTATATCAGTGAATTATATTTATGACAAGATGATCCGATGCTCATATTTTATCTGTTCTGCAAAGTCAACACTTTTATCGGATATCCTAAAGATGTCAACAGTCCCTAATGAAGAAACAGGAGTCGACAACCATGTCGAGCGTTACTCACGTTAGCTAAAGTTCTAACTCCATAGTCTACTTTTTTTGTTACCCTTCTTTCATTCCACCCCAAGTAGTGGCAGCACTAGCGACGACACTGCCAACAGCACTAGCATCACCCTAAAGTAACTTCTCTTAGAAAACTAGAGAAGAGAGCAAAGGAAATAAAAGGGAGAATAAGATAGAGTTCTCGAGAGCACGGAGTGTAACTTCCACTAATAATGGAAGGACATTAATTTCATGCGATTGGGCCCAGCGGGCTACTGGTAAACCCGTGCCAAGTAAAAGCTCCTGCTCTCTTTCGGCGGGACCCTTCGAACGTTGTGGGGGTTGTTTTAACCCTTTACACCGTGTAATCGGAACGACTCGTTCTGTCGCCCTGGGGAGCAGTTAACTGCGACTTGTATTCGTTGGAATAAAATGTCGAAAAGCTGAACGGACCCGTTGTAAAGTCTTTCCTGTATCTGATTAGGATGCACACGTTGTCGCCAGGGAATTGTTCTCCACTCTAAAAAAAAAAAAGAAATAAACGTTCATCCACATTAATCAAAATTCTAATCCCTAAGATTCCATGAGATCTGTTTCATTTCTCGACAACTTCTGTCAAAAGTTCAAGTGCGAGAAGCCTAGAAGCTCGCTTGACTGTCTCGAAGCATAAACGCTCAGTCCTAATGGCCCAACTCAAATATGTAAGACTAGCCTGCCCACCGGGTAGCGGGTAACAATAAACTAACACTTAAACACCCTTCAAGGCACAATGTAAAGTCGCACCCTTGGCGCTAACGATCTCACCTGCTACTTCAACAACATCCGTCACGACGACTGGAACACTTGACAAGCGGCTGACCGGTTTACAGCTGCGACAGCAATCCAGAACCGTCGAGGATTTTCTTGAGAGATCTGCAACATCCTCTGGCAGAGGGTAACAAATTTGTTTGAATCTGTTATGAAGTATTATGAGTATTCTACTTGTAACGACTATAAATCTTTACTAGACATTAGGAATAATATAGGCTAAAAGAAAAAAAGTGTACTGTATACATTTAAGCAGGAAATATTCTCAGCACCGTATTCCAACACGGTACCTCACGATTCGCATAGTAACGTGACAATACGAGCTGGAGGCATAAAAGCTAACAATGATGGAAATATTAGCTTTTAAAGCCGCACGGGGTGTCGTTAACCGCCGTGTGCTTTTCCGCTCGCGAGTTGAGAATTACCTACTTGCCGTTAGGGATTGCTTTTTTTCCCTAAGGTTGACGATCCTTATTTCTGCATAACCAGATTTTTTCAAGCTTTCACTGGAAAGGATGCTTAGGATATAAGTCGAGATTATTTTACTGATGTTATGTAATAAGCAAATGTATAATAGATATATTCAAATTTTATTTGAATTTTAAACTTATTGGGTAGTGCAACTTAGGAATATACTGACTCTTGTGAAATGTAAGAAAAAAAGTAATAAAAGTAAAACTTCGTTTTTAGTAAATCATTATGAATTTAAAGCTCAATTTCTTTTGCTGAATCCGTTGAATATATATAAAATATTGATATTGAAGCTTTTCATAGTATAAAATAAGTTAGGAAGCTTTTTAATGGTGGAGGGTAGAGAATAAGCCATAAAAAGAGAATAATATCTCACGTTCGCATGGACGGCAACCTCGCCTGTAAAGTTACATTAATTACATTTTTTTTTCTCTCAATGGAATCGTATATTCTTGCGCTACTAAAAGTCCAAGTATTCGTTAACGTTAATCCCGCTGAAGGAGCAGGACACTCTCCATTCTAATTATTCACTTTTGCTTTGGTACACGTCATGTTGATTTCACGAACATCCTACCAAGTCAATATAGACTTGGACTAAATAAGTAAATGATTCCCTCTGTGATTCTGTTTAGTAGCAATGCACAGGAAGCTGACAAATAGCACACGAAATTTTCAACGTCTAATGAAATTGTACGTTTTTAGAGATACGCATCCACGGCGCCAAAAGATTTTCGCGATTATCGGTTCATTTTCATATTAAAAAATTAGTAGACGTAAAATCACTTATATGCTCGATCGATGAATTAAATAGCCAAATAATTAACTTGGGATCATTGAAACTGTAAAAAATACACAGATATTAACGTGATACGACGCAACCGTTACGTTTTTTTCCTTTGAAAGTACTGGCTACAGTCGTTGAGCGAATTAACACTGTCGGAATATGCAGACGCATTTGATTAGCAGTCTGTACAACAAGCCCGTTGAATAAAAAAAATATATTTGCCACCAATCAATACTATCAAATATTTTCTACAGTGCAGACTTCACAAAGTTAAAACAATATTGGAATTGACTGGCACGCATGACCAACGACTTGCGTATGACTGCTGCTATCTGTAAAGATGGCTGCGGTTGAGCAACAGCATTCTTAGTTGGTAACGTCACTGCGAACAAGCTGCTGTACCATAGAAACAGTAGTTCGTAATAAGTTACCGACATTCATTACGACGATACCTTACAGCATAACTATTTCGTCGGTAAACGTTTATTTACGCGTTGACTGCAGAGGTAAATAGGCTGTTATCTTACGGGATATGGTGTCACGTTAGCCTGGGTATGACGGATACCTACCAATGGACTTCATCCACATTGCAATGTTGTATATAGATATATATTCTACGTATCAAAATCGCGAAGCCCGGAATACACAGGCATGTCTGATCTATTTATATTCAGTTAAAGATTTCAAGAAGGTTATAATTATTTAAAAAACTTACAATAATACTGCTCACAATATTGACACATGAAGAGTAATATTTGGGACGAAGTCTTGCTGCTAAAGAGGAATATCCCATGTACCAGAACAATTCTTAAGATTTTTGGTAAGGTAAGGTATATTCATATACTTTTCTGTTTTACGTAATCAGTAATTTATTTATTTTTTCGTTACAATCGACAGTTTAATAAATAATACTACCAGTTTTTCAGGATACCATCGTAATGGACGTAGATTAAAAACGAAAGAAGTAAAATAAAAAGTTTACAATTTTGAAGAAAACGGTCCATAACTATGAGAATAAAATTGGTCCTTAAGATGAAGGATGAAGTAGGTGTTGTTCCTCAAGCTCTAGTTAACATATCGAGTATGCAGTTTTTGTTCGTCTTCTTAAAGTGGAGCCATTTCTTTACTTGCAAGTACAGGTCTTGCAGTTGCATGTTCCACCAGACTTGCAGCAGCACTTCTCTGTAAGACAGACAAAAACACTTTAGTTAGTTGGATGCTGCGGAAGACCAGTGAATTCCATGAGGATAATAAACCTTCCCGGAACGAATTTGTAAGATTGGGTCTTTTATGTATCAGGTATATGAATGCAGGGTATTCACCATGGTGGTAAAAAAGCAGCCCAGTCATTTTATGGCTGGCCTTCGGAATTTCTACCCACGCGCTTCACCGATCACAAAGGTTCGAGAAACTAGCAACAAGTTGCACGAACCCAAGTAACCTTTACATGAATTAAGGCTACTCCTCATGGCTACTTAAATTAGCACAAGTACTGTCTCAACGGTGATAACTAAGTTGACAGGAATATTGATTCAAATAATGCAATACCTGCGCTTTCGGTCTCACAGCACTTGCAGTCATCTCCGCAGTTGCAGTTGGTGCACTTATCTGTGAAAAAAAAAATAAAAGTTTCAGAATTCGACTGTACCGCCAATAATAACAATTTATATCATTACACAAGCGAGGAAATAATTAATTTCAGTCAATCTACAAGCAACTTTATGTATTAATTTCAAATTGAGTGCATCCGGGATCGGGATAGGGTAAGCCATTAGCAATTTATTTAGAGTGACTCCAAAGTAAAAGCAAGCATATTTTATTAAAGTATTAATGGTAATTAAACTTTTTAACTTACCGGTGCATTTCTCTCCGCATGGTCCAGGCATCTTTTTGATCGATGGGTTTCGCTGTACGTTCACTATCAACTGTATTACTTCGACGTCTGTAGACTTCTTGGTCTCAAGCAGCGCCGACGCTGGATTTATCGAGCGTCCCCTACTCCTACCTCAACGTTGCCAGCACGGCGTGTGCAACGAACGTGGAGAGTGCCATGCGCAACCAGCCAATCGTGATTGCCAATCGTTTTACAAGGCGTAAACGTTATACGTTGTATGCCATGATAATGATATCAATACTACGTGTGAAATTCTCACACGGCACATCATAACTTTCGTAGGGCTGATTCATTCGGTACATAGGACACTGTGCTTCACATGTATTTCGCAATCTCTGTCGGCGTTCGTAGCATCCCAATAGAAAATTCTTTCTTACTATTGAATATTTTTGATTGATCCATAAGACTGAATAAGAATTGTCACAATGCCTTGTTGTGAACTGGCATTGTCAATTGATGATTATTCTGTGTTTCTCTTGGAGACTTTTTTTTTATGCAAACGGACATTTCTGGAATTCAATATCTCAATGTTATTGTACATGGGAATCAGTATGAAAGGACACTATTGCATAAGACTGATGATGTTTTTATTTGATCTTAAAATCTGGTACATGGTTCTGTTTTCTTGAACAAGGACAATCTTGACAATTTAGAAATTAGTTCGATAAGAAGTTTACTTTGTTGTAATAATTGATATCGTAGTAGTGGATCGATAACAGGAAAGCTCTATGTATATTATCGGGGTACCCTCTATTCCATATAGATAAAAGTTAAGAATTATATAATAGGAGCAATCACCGAATAGTTTTCCTAGTTACACAGACCTAATATTTTTAATGATATCCTAAGGAGCTTCACCCGCAAATGTTGACACTGGCCGTGTGACTGATGAAAAATTCGGTAAACTCATTTCAGTAAAAATATGAAAGGAATGGATTATTCTTGAAATCTTCAAAAAGAGTATATAATAATTATATGTAATTATATATATAATTAATAACTATATATTAATTAATTATTAATTCTCATTGTAGCACCAAATGTAATTGTTTACTATATAAATCCAGAAATTGCGCGCTATTTCAAATGCGCTTCAGGCAGAAAATCTAGAAGCATCTACAGCGCCTTGTCAGCCTCACTACGTGGCGCCACCTGCTGTCCGTAGTGAAGCGTAACGTTAAGCGATAAGTCATTAACAAACAATGAGTGTTGGTCTAAGAGGAAATTAACTGGGGATCTTATTGGATATGTTGACACATATGGGAGCCCGGTATCCCGGATACCTAAAAATAGAATGTAATCATTAAAATGCTATATATATGCTATATATATACATCCCAAGATCTAGAACTCACAGGCATATCTAGTTTACCTACACTCACTCACAGCAATGAGTAATCTGGAGATAAATAAACTACGGATAACTACGTATCCGTTACCGTGCGAGTTTAATGTACTGGCAGAACATGTTCAGTCAACGGACGTACCAACGCGACATCGAGAATGGTGGCATCTGTGGGTTGAAGTAGTTATTACAATGCCGGCAAAGAGAAACAGTGCTCAGGCGTTGCTGATCTAACGGACAGTAAGTACGTGGTCAAATAATGTAAGAGACTGTAAGCTTACAGGACTGAATATTTTGTTGGAATCGGCCCTGTTGGAAAGGCATTTCCGTAGTGCTTTGTATTTCAGAATTCATCTATTGTGCGTCGTGCTTTATGCTCCAGGTAACAAATTAAATTTTTACTCGTACGAATGAGGGATTTAGGGTCTCGTGTATGTGTTCACAAAAAGTTTTAGGTAAATAAGGAATGCATCCAACAGTACATATCGTATTTGTATTGTCAGTCAAAAGACAGACGCACGATAAGCCCTCTGACTATTAAGAAGAATAAATAGATCTTGAAAATCAAGAACTTGGAAATATATAGCGTACAGTGAAATCATATTACTAATTCAGTCAGAAATTCTTGTATATCCTTATCAGCCAAGTGCTATTTCGGAATATTATTTGATCCAATATTTTATTAGCATATTACAGTCGCAACTTAAAATTTAAAGGACTCTGATGTTGTGTATTATCTTAATTTAAGGTGGCTGCTCGCTGCGAAAGTATTAAATTTACATGGTCGTGTACTTTTTGTCAGAGTCTGTGAATGTTATAATTCAACTGCTCGAGTGCTTGCATCAATTATAATAAAAGAAATTTTATTGAAAATGAAATTGAGGAATTTATTAATTTAGAAATTAGAGATATTATTTTTTTTAGATTAGAGCAATCTAATACTTTTTAGTATGATTAGAGCCATTTGATGCTTGTATTATTCGACTCGGTAACCATCCAAGACACGCGATTAGTTATGTTCACCGGTTCACGCGACCACGTAAAGATTAAAACCTTTGCTGACCTGACTTGAACTCCATAACGCCAGTTTAACAGTGTTATGGGTGACATGTGTAAATATTATTATTTAATCAAACACGTAACATTGAATTTCTTAGTGGCTTTCAAATAGGAAACCCGCTGGATATGTATTCGTCATCTATGGAAATCGCAGAAAATAACATATTTAGCATGTTCGGCATATGCTTTATATATACTATAATTTTCAGTGCAGTTAATCTTGTTGTGAGATTACTGTTATATTTTTGAGAACACAAATATACATGAAAATTATTCAATTTAATTCCTACAAGTTTCACCATTTGACAATCTTTTATGTTTTGTTTGATTGTATTTGAAATGCCGTTTTCTTAAAAAATTGTATATTTGCAGCAAACATTTTTTTAAATATTTTTCTATGTACAGTTTGGTCACGCGTTCCAAGTGTTACGTGTATGTACATACTTGGCGCGAGGTCGACCGAGTCACTTGATACGAAAGTCAACGAGCAGTGTGTATCTACTGTAGATAAAATTACAACAGCTATACCGACTGGAAGTAGAACATGATACCGACTGACGGTATATTATCAGTATAGTATTAACCGACTGAAAAGTATAACATAATAAAATGAAAAGTAGCTCTGCGGCCGCACAGAGCGAAGCATCCGATTCGCCTCAGTACTTCACTCCATATTTATTAAAGAGATGCAAATCCGACCAAGGTAAAAGTAAGGAAAATCCGGATTGCACCATAAACCGTAGCAGGAAACGTAACGGTTACGGATCATTAGCGAGATTGAAGTTAGTTTAGAAAGACGGTAAGGAAATCCAGAGAAATTATTCGTCCCATCAAAATGGAGGCCAGTCAAACTTTTCAGTTGCCACTGATGGCTCCTTATGCTAATGACTAGAATACTAATCACCTATTATAATTGTTAATTCGTCAAATGATCTAGAGGAGCCACTTCCCGGGCAGACTTCGCAACCCCCGCGACATCCCCGTCTACTTTCATCGTCGAGAAAGTTCCGTTTATCCTTGCTTTGCTTCTGCACCACCGCCATAGTAATTCTGTCCGAGTCTCCCATACAAGCTTAATAACTCCGGCCGATCCGAGTGGTCGGAAAGATGCCAAAAGCTTCAGGATAATCGGACCCTTTGAAAATGCCTTCGGGACACGAGAAGCAGGTAACGAAGGAGACAAGAAAAGCAAGCAAGATAACCAAAGCAGCCAAGCAAGGCACACCTCGGACAGATTCGCTCCTTCAGCCACAATTTATCCACTTTATGGACGCCGTCGATGTAAATGAAGTTTCTAGAGTCGAGTTACACCACACCTCCTGCCCCTTATTTCTTGCAAGCCCTCCACACCCTTGATCACTCGCGACAGCCGCGTGCCCGTTCGATGCTCGTAAAAAATTGAACCCACAGAGTTAATGACATTACTCCAGCTATTAATATTCTCTATAATCACAAATATTTAGAGCATTCACAATATAAGGACATAACACACACTGTGACTCTCGATACTAATTTTCTATGGACATGATTTTTTTAGGGATGTAAGGGGACAGCATTTTGTCGCGTAAACGGAACGGGGCTTACAGACAAATCGGAAAGTGTCGAGAGGATGGTGGTGGTAGTGGCGATGGGGTTGAGGGGGGTGGGGGTGGGGAGGTTAGCTTGTCCTGGGGTAGGTCTCAAAGCAGAAAGGGGTTGCTCGTAGAGCTGGCGACTTTCCGTGATGGATGAGAGGGCGCAGACCTTGCTGACAGCGCAATACTAGACCGAAGACGTAGACACAACACGTGCAATCCCAAAGCACACACGTTTTCTCTTGCGATATTGTGTGCAAAATGAAAGTAAAAGAGAAGCCATTTAAAATGTACGGATCTGTAGGTACTTAATATATTTCATTTGACCATCAAAAGATTCCAAACCTCCTGTTCGACGTTTGACTATGAGGTACAAGGCGCTTGGGGAGGTCCCACTCGACGAAAGGGGGATGCTGACGTAAATTTGCAAATTTTTGTACAATCTAAACGGCACCAAGGAAAAAGCGCCTGTCTACCTAACTGCGACTTCTTTGTTTATTCTCAATTTACACAGTTGCAAACAAATCAGTCGAAGTTTGGCGTGCAATTTCAAATTCGTAACTCTGTTATATTTGCGAGGACCGTTCTGTCGCCCTCTCGCGAATCCATTCGTCACCCTCCATTATTTACCGCTTCCCGAATCTCGTTGAGGGATGGCAGGGAGAAAGGTGAGAGAGACTGTAGCTTTTTACGTTTGCGATATGCATTCTTTCGATTTAAACTTCTTCTTACGAATGTTTGCCCACCGTACGGGATTGCCGTTCAGCATCGTCCTGAACTCTAGTTATCTCGTGCAGCAATCTGTGGCGAATCAACCGTTCGTCCCAGGCGGATTTTCATTTAGGGACGATGGTATTCGGAGTGGGTGGTGGGGACGATTCATATCGGTTCGGCTAACAACAAGATGCAGGAACTCGTTGTAAAAGTATTCTCGTAAAAAGTTTGGAGGAACTGCCGAAATCTTAGCGACTTTCAATAAGCCAGGTTAGCTTCGGTATAGCGGGGATGGATAAAACGGAGTAAAGGGGTTGTGACGAAATAGGCGGGAGGGGCCGGGTGTGACTTGCTGGTTGGCTTGGGGTGGCTGACTAGCTGCCTTGGTTGGTTGGTCCCGGGCTGCCGGCTCGCTCTACGTCGT